CCACTAGTTCCGTGCACACGTTTACACGACGTACTCTGATGAAACCTGGGACTCTTTTGAATCTGAAGCAAGCTCGTCGAGCTAGCATGGTAAAACCTAGCAAGTCTTGAAATTGCATGAAATAGCTCTCTAGACGGCTAGACACGTCGATGGGAAGTAGCAAAAGTGCAAAATGCCCCCCGTCGCCGAACTACGCCACCGAACCGTTAAAAATTTGGATGTGGACTGAGTAACTCATTTAAAGGTGCACTTCCGAGAATGTGTCCGAGCTAACGAGCACTTTCCCTCAATGGGTGCCGATTGTTATGGGCCTATGGGATTGGACTAAATGCGTGATTGTGAAAGAATTCTGGGAAGTCGCGACGACTTTCTTCCCGTTCCTGCAAGAGCTGCAGCTCAAGGATAGCCTCTCGAGTCGTAAAAAGGGTCGTTAAGCATCGGACAACTTGTCGTCATGGGTTGTGCTGAATGGCGAAATTCATACTAAACGGCCTCCCAGGGAATGTCCGAGCCCGTAACCACTCGTGCATAGTAGTCATAACGATAAGTTATGCATATAAAGGCAGCTGCGACCGCGAGCCATCTCGCTGAATGCCATCCCAGAATCCAGAGATGACCTATCCTTGACAAGAATTGGCGCAAGGCTAATGACTCAGAAATACGCACGGACCATCAGTTCTCGAAATGACCCACAAAGCTGGACCCAGCTCTGGATTATTCGGCAAGCTCTACTCAAAGTGCAATATAACTAGTTATTTTCAAACTTCTCAAAGGTTAGGCCCTGCTCGGTGAATCCCCGCTGGACTGCAATTCATTTTCGCCCCACTCGGCGAGTGACATATGAACGAATCAGCCGGAATCGTAGTGTTCTCAAGCTCCATGACCTTACGTGATGTCTGCTGCTCAGTTCAAATCCCATTTTAATCCCTTAGCGTGCTTTCTTTGGCCCTTCAGTATCCGAATTGCTCTCTTTTCGTAAGGATCCATCGAAGAAAAATGCAGTAATGAGGCTTTGCCTCTGGCCATATCAATTTTTTCAGAGCGATTGGTGCTCCATGGCCTTTACAACCTGCAAAAGCAAAAACTGCCATTTGTTGAGTCGCCACAGCATTTTTTCCCTCTCCGTCTAGCGTTCACGTGTACCAGAACCTCTGAGAGAGCACAAACAAGTGGAAAGAAGAAGCAAAAGCAAGCAGTAGCACTAGCCTGACCAATGAAGGCGCAGAATTGGAGTTCTTTCGCATTCTTCTACAGCCAGAAAGGCTGAGAGGGCGATACGTTGATGTAGACACTCGGAAATTGATGGATATAGCGTCAGCCAGTGCTCAGCATGACTTGTTGGATCCCATCAGGAAGTGGGGAGGAGGGCCTTATTTGAACCCCCTAGTTGCGGCGTCGTTAAAAAATAGACAGCTACTATTTTCAATAGTTGCAATTCGTAGCTGTTTGGTGGCAAACCCTCCCCCCATACCCTCTACGCCCGCTGTTGGTTGGAACTAGAAACATTTTTGGAAAATCGGTAGGAATCGGGAAGTTCGGGAGGTCGGTGGATAGGATAGATTGCATACGAGGAAGGGGGTTGCACCGAAGCAAGAAGTTGGGGGGAGTCGTCTACAGAGTAATCTTCCCCTATCCCGATGCTGTATCCTGTCGTCAACAACAAGGCTGCGCTTTGGCCAGCGCGTCCACCGCGCCAGTAGCATCCCCACCAGCGTTTCTCGAGGCGTCCGGTAGCGTAAGCGAGAAGGAAAGAGTAGGTATCGATCAGCGTCTCAGCGTCCGTTAGCGTCTACCGGCGACCGGCAGCAAACTGCTGGTTGAGAGTATGGTGCAATAGGAGGATACCAGCTGTCTGCTAACCTCCTATCGCGCCATACTCTACAAGCTGTCTGCCACCCTTCTATCGCGCTCTACTCTCCACTCCCGGACGCTGGTGGATGCTGATAGACGCTGGCAGACGCTAGATCGATATCTATACTTTCCCTAGTCGCTGACGCTCGGAACGCTGGAGGACGCTATTGGTCGCTGTGGACGCTGCCGCAAAGTGTGAACGCAGCCTAAACTAATGGATGGCTTAATGTCGATTTGTGCGAATAGCGAGGGTAATTCAGATCGGGCTGACCACGATCTCCGACACTTTAAAGAATTCCTCCTTGAGATGGGGTCCTAAGCGCCGCAGCGTCTAGTCAATCATTAGCTCCAGCTTCACTTTTTGCCTAGTCGGGTCCCGAGTTGGGCGGAAATTCGAATATACGTCAAATTTTTTGCGAAATAATGGATGCGGGGCGAAAGGGCAAGGCGCGTTCGTGAGACACGTGAACGGGACCATCGATTCCTGACTGGCGCTATATGTCAGTTGTTTACTGAAAAACCATTCTGGAAATATCTCGCCCTAAGGCAGCTGGACAAACTGCCGTATAACAAAACGATCAATGTCGGTATCATATCATTTCCACACATTCAACAGCTGTCAAAGTGCTTATGCCAATGTCACCGATAACACGGGCAAACGACACATGAAATCGAACACTTCACAGATACAACATGAAGTTTAATAATCTCCACGTTGTCCCTTCTTGTAACCTCGGCATGATGTCGAATGTTCAATTACTTCTGCCAAACGAGGTTGTTAGATGAAACCTTTTATTGGCCTAACGTTTCGACCTTCTCGTCTTCTTCGGAGGCCTGAAAATGGCTCGAAGCTTTTTTATTTGTTACC